GTACTTTATCACGCGTACATCTATGCCCGGTACATAATGATGTATACTGCACTATGATATTACTACATGATTTTTTTTAAGACTGTGGCGACCGACTTAAGCTATATTAGTTGTCAACCCCACCAAGCCAAATTACAGCTCAACCCCTCATGTACAGCTTAGCATTCACAAGTGGAGTTCTCTCAACTAATCAAAATAATTGGCCTCGATGGTTAACTGTTCGAAGGGAAGACATAGCTGTACAGTGGAACCTCGATTTAGCGAAGTGCCAAGGGACTGGGGAAATTGGTTCGTTAAATCGAGGGTTCGTTATCATATCGAGGTTCTGTGGCATACATTTTACTGTAACTTTAGCCGGGCTGAAATTGAAGTATCGTTCGTTATACTGAGGACTTAATTATATAGAGGTTCGTTAAAACGAGGTTCCACTGTAGTGGATATTTCACGCTTTATTAGCACGTGAAATCGTCTGTAAGCCGGTATCATTAGATACATAGAACCTAGCTGCCATCTCTGTCTATGTATCCTAAGAGACAACGATTCAGGTGCATCTTGCACTACGTCTCGTCTTTATACTAGATGTTTTAAGAGAGTATGGTAATCTGTCGACACCAACTACCTAACTGAGCAACAGAAAGGGAAATTGAAACCGATTTCCTACCTGTCTTGGCTTTTCCTTCTTTGAATTCGTGCAGTAGCACTGGGAATAGAATACCGTAGGAATACGAACAGCCAACGGCGATCAAAATACACAGAAATCCACAGAAACATACAAAATAAGCGTACGGGCTATCAGGCTTCTTACAGCCCTCCAGGTATCGAGAAATCCGCTTGAAATCATTACATCCTCTCATATGTTTCTTGGTGTTTTCCTTTGGTAAGAAAAGACTATTATCTTCTGGTCCATCCATCTAAGCAAAAGTTCAAGTTAGATTAAAATTCTGTTTTTAGAGGAACAAATTAAAGTACTTGCGTTGAGATGAGTCTGTGTAAAAAAAATTCATGAAAACCTGACGAGGTTATGCACGCAAATGAAGTCGAACTGGACAACAAAATAATGAGAACTGATTATAATTATTTTGTGAAAAAAATTTCCTTACCTTGACCAGACAGAAAAAGTACGATATTAAACGGATGCCTAAATATAATTCAATATTTAGTGATAACCACCTTGGTCTTAAAAGTGGTAGCAGCCACGGTTTGATGAGCTGATAACAAAATAACAAGTGATGCGCTCTTTCTAATTATAATTATTTTTTCTCTTGGGAGGTCTTACTATACTGCTGACGTTTTTGAGCCAAGTTTTATTGTTTACCTAGTCCTGTTTGTATTTTTCAACCTCGTTCCCAGGGCTTTTCCCTTTTAAAAGCCCTGGGAACGAGGTTGTGTATTTTTGTGGTCAACTCTGCGTTTTCTTAGAACTGGCCCATGCAGCAACAGGTAGATAGCTGGTGCCAAACCACAAAATCGTTGTGGGTTCTTCGTGGCTAGTGTGCAGCCGCCCCCTACCTTCCAAAAGGAAATATTTTGGAGCGTAGGGGGTGGCTGCCGCACTCAGGCTAGGTCCTTCGCATCAGAATTTGTTTTTCTTATGTAGAGGGAGGAAGGAATGAGAGTCTTACGCCTGACTTAGCCTCCCCTCTCCTCTCGCATACCTTTGACTCCAGTCATCCGCCCTTTATTAAGAAACACTACAACTCTGAGAGGGTGGTAATAGAAGATGGAGAAAATTATTTTCTCCTTCTCCTATTACCACCCCCTCCCCCCTTCTCTCGTACTCTTCCCCCCATTTCAGCCCCGTCGTACCCTCCTCCTTGCTAGTTGCAAGGTACATCGAAGCAATCGACACAAAGAAAGCATTCATTAATTCATTAGAGGACCACGTTAAAATAGCCAAAACTGGGCTTGAATAGACAAATCGAAGGAGTTCAGAATTGCTCCCCTTTCGTAAAATTCACAACACGTCTTCACGTCTTGAATTGGCATTGAGTACTTTCATTCCAACGCGGTCAACATTGGCCTTGAAATTGGTAGGCTAGCATCAAATTAACCAGTTTGTATATTTAGTTATTTGAGCCGGGTTCTCAATGAGGTCCGGTTTATCGTCAGCCTTCAAAAGGTTTAAAATTTAACTGCCTAAAAAAAAAATCAAATGGTTTCGAGGTCATTTAAATTTCAGTAAGAAAAACCCGTCAGTTGATATCGAATAAACTTCAGATTAGTAAACCTGTCCCAATTTTACCAAATGATAAACACCCAGTAGTTAGCTCAACTCATTTCTTCGGATATTAGTCTTAACTAATCGTCTGAAAGAATTTAACGGCTTCATTCAGTGTTGAAATTAAGGCAAATTAAGTCGCTGTTGCAGTTTTGGCCATGATTCCAGAGTGGATGACAACAAGATAGGGAAGGCACTACCGTTTCGTGAACTTGCACTGTATTTTCGCCCTATAAAATGCGCTCACAAATGCAATATGGTATTACTGATTGCTAAAGAACAGTTGTAGTTAATGGACATCGTACACAACACATTCCGATGTTTTTCTGACTTATATACCGCATTGACGAATGCATCAGAAGGAGAAAATACGGAAAAGAGGCCGGAAGGAGTGGGAAACAAACTCTCTTTCTGAAACGCTTTCCGTTCTGCCCGTATCGGACCGACATTTTTATGTCACAGACTTGAATTAGATCTTATGCTCGTTCTTACACTTCAGTAGACAAAAGCACATGAATATATCAGTGACTTCGAACGAATATTCAACCTTAAAACGGTTTTATATAAGCACCAATTGCGGCAGATTTTTACAGAGGACACAAAAACGTGAAGACCTTAGACTGGGAGGCTTTTCATTTCACATTCACTTGCAGCTCTAGCTTAGCTTGTTTTAATAGATTCAAAGTTACTTTCTTGCACAAAATCTATAATTCATACAGAGATGCAAAAAAGTACCGATACAAGTAATGAATAGCTTAATTACGTAACAAGAAGCTACGGGTAATTTTTCAATAGAGCAAATATTTTTAGATTTTACACATTTCAATCATATTTTTCGCAATGTAACCCTGATTTCGCCGACAGATGATCGTCGCTTCGCCGATCTCTAAAACAAATAAAATTCCTTTGTAGCTCTTTTCGGCCCCTGGTAACAAAAAGTGAGTTCTTGAAAAGTTTTCATATGCAGACAAGCGGCGAAGAGGATTGTTGTCACGTTCGAAAAAGACCAATTTGGTGAACCGTTTGTACATCTGCTTAATTTGCTAATTTTTGGGGTTGCCCGAGGTCTGAGTTTTTGAGATCTCAGTATTCGTGACAGACGTGATAAGATCCCTTTAAAATTTTAATTTTTTTTTTTTTTTCTTTTTTTCGCGGACACAGTAGATGTATTTTGAAGCTGGTCTGTGCTTTAAATAATCTAATCCACCCCCACCCCCCACCCCCCAAAGAAGTCAGCTTGACGGTCGGAAATCGTCTCAAAATCTTGAAGATTGTGCTCCCCTTTCAATTACACATATACTTCTTTATTTTAGCGGACGGAGGGGACTAACTAACTAACTAACTAACTAACCATTCAACGTATATTTTAAACAAAATCATATCAGCTGTATGTTTTCTTTAGGGAACATTCGAAGCAATTTAACAAACCTTTATTTTCTTGACCTTCAAGCGGCTTTCCACTGGCAATGGAGTTGAGGTCAGAGTCGCATGAGCGATTTCCACCCGATGAGAGCACCAATGAAGATCAGAGTCGTGCTCGACGAACTCGGAGTCGACAGAATCAGACAATTTCCATTTCTTCACATTCGGCTGATTACTACAACACTCTTGATCAATTGCGTGAGCCATGCAAATAGTATTATCGGTTTGTTTACCGCATAGAAGGTCAAAATCACGTGCTCGGGGTCAACGTCTGGAATGTACAACTGGACGAGAGACGTATCTTTTTCACAATAATTTCCATTTTTCAGGGACCATTGAACAGAGATACAATAACTGTCTGGATTTGAATCGTCTTCAATCGTGCACAGGGAGGAAGGAAAGGAGACTTAGACATGGGCATTAACTTTGCGATACGTTCAAATGAGGTCCGTTTAGCCTTATCTCGGAACATAAGAGCATGATGAAGTAAAGAGAGGTACTTTTAAACGGGTTAGACGATTGCTGTAGTAGCAATTAAGCAATTTGTGGGTTTGGTGGACGAACATAAGTTGTTACATAGTTATTTCTTGAATAAACCGATAACATAAAGGCAATTTTTGCGGTTTATCCTAGCGAAAAGTCGGCTGACTGTTTTCAGCCAACTATATTCAAAGATTCAATTCACTGATATGTTTTTTCAGGTAAACTCTGCGTTTTCTCAGATTAAACCCGACATCAGAATTTTTTTTTTTTTAATATCGAATTAACACTGGGAAAATGATAAAAATTGTATAACCTGTAGAATTAATTAAGCTATCGTGATGAGTTTCCAAATTGTGACTGTCTTGTTTAACTTACCAACCGTTCCACAAGAGAACGTACTTGGTCTCAGTGCTGACCTTGATTTGGACCTAGGCCACTCGAAGCTTCCGGTTCTGGCTTACGCAGTCAAGATTGATTCGGTAGATAGGAAGCATTAAGAGGGTTGTTGTTCATTTGCGAGATTCTTGCAAAAGTGCGGTCTGGTTTAGTGATTTCACAACAAATGTTTAATCTTCAGAGGTCAGTTGGCCAGCGGCGTGCCTGCCGAGATGCAGGACGGAGCGTTGCAAGACTGGCTTTTTTCCGCCAATGGCCTTTTTATAATATTGATGCATTTTTACATTGCTTGTATATATATATATATGTAATTCTTGGACTTGATTTGAATGTATTTCGAAGAGCGCTCAACTCTTAGAGGAGGATTGATAATTATAACGAATTGGTTCAAGACTTCAGAGGTAGTTCATCGTTTTATTACAACAGCTCTGTTTCGTATGGTCGAAAATGACCACACTCATCAGGTAATTTCAACGATTGACCGTTAACTTACTGGCTATAAAAGCTGGGATACGGTTGCTACTGGAGATATAAAAACAACGCTACTTATCCATATAAGTCATGTGACTGGTATGCATAATTTGGGAGATTGTTACTTGATTATGAAGTTTTAAAGGAGGTATCTGTTTCTATGGGGGCATGAACTTGCTAGCTCATTTCGCTTGTTTAGACTGCAAAGTTCCTTTTTACATATGATCGTGAATTTTTCAAAAAGACATAAGTTACATTTCTTAGTAATGTTGTTGTACGGTTTGCATTGTTTGACGATTTTCCACGCTAACTTGAAAGGTTTGTTAATGTCCTTCAGTGTCCATATGTGTTTAGATAATTCAGTCTCGTGTGTCTTGTTTTGGTGTCGGAAGGAAGCTGTGTGGTTACTGTACTGTTCTTTAAAGTTTGTCGCGAGTCCCATGTATGAATCTGTTGACGTTTCAGTTGTGACTGTTGCTTGGTAGACTACGTTTGATGTGAGGCATTTTCCCTCTAGGGGGCATTGGTCTTTTTTCCGGCAGTTACATTCTTTGTCTAGTGTTTGTGGTGAATTTTGTGACTGGTTGTAATCTGGTGGTAGCTTTTTGTTGTGTGATGCGATGATTGTTTTGACGTTAGGCATGCAGGAGTAGCTTATCCTTAGTGTGTGGCGATTGAAGATCTTGTGTAATGGATGGTTTTTCGGGAAGCATCTGTCAACAATATTTAAGAACTTTCTTCCCAGGTTGATCTTCACGTTGGAGTTCCATGGTGGATTATACCATATCACTTTTCTTTTGCGAGTTTTGTTGCGCTTTTGGGCTGGCTGTGGATCATGTGTAAGCTTATAGTCGTAGCCACTTTCGTAGAGAGCTTTTTGGTAAGGAGGGCTGGCGTTATCGAAAACTTCTTTGCTTGATGATATGCTGTTTAATCGCTTGTTTATATTTTCCGGGATGTTCTTTAACAGTGCAGGTGGGTGGTGAACATAGAGGAGTTTGTTGTTCGGTTTCATGAATGGGTTGTAAGATTCATTTGCGAGGTCGAAGGTTACATCTAAAAAATTGATTGCTTTCTTATTAGCTTCGATGGTGATCTTCAGGCCATTTGACTTGAAAATTTTGCTAACTTCTTGTTTTGCTTTTTCAATTTCTTTAGGTGTAGCTCTGCATACTGCTAGTCCATCGCCACGGTAAAGGCCCACTCGATCTTTAAACTTTGCCGCAATCAGGGATAACATATAGGCTCCGATTAGCTCGCATTTCTCGGCTCCATCATACGAGCCCATCGTCACGTCGAACATGTCGGTGGTGCTCTTCTTTACCCACGGTGTGTTCTGGTGGTACAGCAGTGATTTTTTCGCATGTATGATAATATGGCGATCTTGTGGGCTGATGGATGTGAACTGGGATGCATAGTTTAGTGCTTTCTGTAGGAGTTGTTCAGAGATGGATGGATAAAACTCACACACATCGAAGGTTACAAACGCATGTTGAGCTATATAAGGTATTGAATGAAGCCATTCGATGACATTTGCTTTGGTTTTCCAGAGGTTTACTTTCGTTGCTTTGATAACTTCGTTGTTGATATTATCCAAAATGCGTTTGCTGATTATGCCAATTTCTGATTTAGAGGGGTTAATTAGTCTGCAGGATGGGTTGCTCGTGAAATCAGGTTTGTGATCTTTCAATGTAATGAACGCGTCTCTGCTTGCTGATATTTCAATTCGGTCGTCAAGGGCTAGGCTTTGTGCGATTTTTTGGTCGGCAAGGTTGATCGTGTTAGGGATGGTTTGGTTCGTCTTTTTGTAGGGTTTGCGGTCACGTTTTTCTGTACAAGGTTCGAGTAGTCATTGGGTTCAGTCTTGTAGTGGTTGGTTGTTTTATCGGCTTTGACGAATATATGCTCGTCTTGTCGGATTTCTTGCAGGTCTTTGTTGAGTTGTTCAGTTCTTGCAGCTTGTTCTGAGTGTAATTAGTGCTAAATTCAATACGTTGAACCATTTCTAACATGGAGTCTTCGAATTGACTGAGGTCACTTACGTATGGTGGTGGGCGCTTTGATTTGAATCCATGTCTCTTTGTTGATGTTATCATGACCGCTATCTTCATGGTTTCTTAGAAAGAAGAAGAAGGCCTTCCAATGCATCCCATGTATAAGCGATTCGATTTTTTCGATCAGGTTTTGTAGAAATGAGCTTTCACTTGCCAGTGGGATGTTCTTGGTCGAATACCCGAAGTCTTTCACTGGGAAATTCATTCTTGACAGCGCTCTACTTTGTTGGAGGAGCGTTAAAAATTCTTGGACTTGATTTGAATGTATTTCGAAGAGCGCTCAACTCTTAGAGGAGGATTGATAACTATAACGAACTGGTTCAGGACTTCAGAGGTAGTTCATCGTTTTATTACGACAGCTCTGTTTCGTATGGTCGAAAATGACCACACTTAAGTAGTGTTGTTTTTATATCTCCGGTAGCAACCGTATTCCAGCTTTGATAGCCAGTAATTATAAGTTAACGGTCAATCGTTGAAATTACCGGATGAGTGTGGTCATTTTCGACCATACGAAACAAAGCTGTCGTAATAAAACGATGAACTACCTCTGAAGTCTTGAACCAGTTCGTTATAATGATATATATATGTATATATATATATATTTTTTTTTTGTAAATATAAATTTACTAACATGTAACATTTTTTATATCTATTTTTTTAAATTTTGAGAATGTAATTAATGTAAACATGTTGTAAATTATTCTTGTACGAAAAAATGTATTGAATAAACCTTTATTATTATTATTATTATTATTATTATTATCAATCTCCTTTTGATTCTCACTCTTCTATCAGTTTCTTACAGACTTCTGACTACTAAACACCAGGTAAACTCTAAAACACATGCTTACATATTCGCCATCGGTAACGATAGACGGTGGCTAGACCTCAGGTAACGCCCATGGACAGCGTTACGCCGGGGGGGGGGGGCGCATTCCAAAATAAGCGCGAGGAGGGCTCGCATGCTTTCTCAAAGGTCTTGTTGCATAAGCACAACCTTCTTTTCGAAAGACTAGGGTCTAGACAGAGTCAGACCCAGATTGAAGTGAACTGAGAGAATTAAAGAACATTTAAAAAGGCCAGAAAAGACAGGTCGAGAGTCGTTCGTGCTATCGTGAAGCTGTGTTGCGGTCTGTAGCTAATTTCTCCATCATTACGATCCAACAATAACATGGCACGTGAAATCACGATAGCAAGGGATCACGATTATGCCCTCTTGAGGAACTCTCTCCTTCCCTCCTGATAATAGAAAATCTGCACTTGTTACCTAAGACGAGCCATAGCTAATGGTTGAATTTAGGCGAAAATCGCCGGGTGTCTCGAAATCGATTTAAATTCTTTCTGGCTGAGTTGAGACGTTGTTGCGTAATACGGCAAATGTACTTGAAGTAGCCGTACCCGAGGCACAAGGAGCTATCCACTGCACCATCCCTAGTCCCACTCCTTGCTCCCCCGGTTTTTCGCTTAAGGCTTTGATACTGATACTGTTGTTTATCTTCATCATTGTAATTTGACCGAATGGAGTTTAATTCGGTCTTTGATCGTACTGGTGATAAGCAAAAAAAAAAGATAGCCATGAAGCGGGGGTCCGGTTTATTAAAAATAAGCAGTTAAGACTGTATAAGGCTACTGGTATCAGCGCAATTTTCATAGCATTGAAAAGAACTAGAGATTGTGTGAAGTTACCAGAGGGTTGTCTCACATGAAAAACAGAAAACCTGCCGCATCCCACATATTTATGAGTGCCCCGTTCCCCATGAGAGAGAGATGTTTCAAGAATATAGCTACTAATCGACACTCGACCACTAATTAGATGGTAACAAATAATCATATTTACGATAATAATGGCAACTTTATTTGTGTTTTTGAATGTACAATTGTAAATCTCACTACGTATAGGAAATTTGCAAATGCTGCTTGAGATTGGATTATTCAACACACACAAAAAGACAAAAAAACAAAAAACAAAACAAAAAAGTCAAAATTGTATTAAGTCTCGATTGTCCCAATTCCTATTTCGACAACAAAAGATGTAATATGATAATAATGGTTATTTTTATCATTTTCTTGATTATGTAAAGTTGCTGCTTTTTTTCAATGCCAATGTTATTCATCGTGTTTAAGAACGTAGAGCTTTCATCGGGGAAAACGCCAAGGGAGCCCATGAAGAGATTTGCAAATTTCACACATCTGAAAGTTCTAGTCATTTCGTTAATCCGTTCCGATATTTTTCTTTTCACGCACTGCATTGTTCTTCAGGTTAGATTCGAAACCAACTGTTCATTCTAGAACATATAGGCACTTGGACTGGATCAGGAAAAGAAGATCTGGACGATCATTTTCACTGGTCATTATTATTGGAGGATTCAGAAAACCATTAACATCTGCATAGAGTGAGGAGTGAACATTAATTACAGGTCGAAGTGACTTGGCAATGAAGTTAAGGATTGAGTCGTGTCTCCAGGTAAAGTGATCAAGGCATTGTTGACAACCAGCGACAACATGAAGGAGTGATTCAGGATTAAGGCAAAAGGAGCAATCAGGACTTTGTGATAATCCTCATCTTATCATATTCTTACGTGTAGGAGAAAATTGTTGATGTAGCGGATGGTAAAAATGTAACTGTTCTTCGGTAGATGAGACTGGGCCACTGTCCAAATAGAATTTACAGATGACAATGAATACTTGATGACACTTGAGAAGAAGAAACCTTGAGATGGTAGGTGGTGTTGTAGTTTATCCTCTTGATTAGAACCGAAATATTTAAAAACTTCCTTATTGGATTTGTACATATCATATTGAATAATAGTGTGATAGCTTGACGATTTCCAGAGAGCTTTTAAGGAATTATTTGGTGACTCTTTTAATGAATTTCGGAGAACCCTTCCCTCCATGGACAATGGTTGCCTGACCGGTGCTGTTTTTTTAGACCTCGCCAAAGCGTTTGACACTGTCAATCATTCAATACTGCTCCAGAAGCTCTCAACTTACGGTGTTGATGATGCTGGCAAAGCCTGGTTTACTTCATTCTTAACATACAGAACACAAATGACTAGCTGTGATTATGCTTGTTCCAAAGCTGCCGCTGTATCGATTGGCGTTGCTCAAGGCTCTATATTGGGCCCGCTTTTATTTATAATTTACATGAATGATCTACCTGATGTTTTGCAATTCTGTCAGGTTACCGTCTTTATATGCAGATGACACTGTTTTATATCTCACTTCCAAATCTACTGTAGACTTACAAAGTAATATTAATGCTGACTTAAAACCTATATGTGGGTGGCTTCGGGCAAACCAACTGACTCTGAATGTTCAAAAATCCAAATTTTTGCTTATCGGTAGTAGTTCCCGCTTGAATAAAGTTGAGTCCCTACTCATTTCGGCTTATGATACCCCTCTCGATAACGTAGATTCTTTTACTTACCTAGGCATTGTGATTAATAACCGCTTCTCCTGGACTGACCACATTGATTATATTCGTAGTAAGGTCAGTAGAAATTTCGGTCTTTTAAGGCGTATTAAATCTTGCCTCCCTCTCAATGCTAGAATTATGTTTTTCAATAGTTTCATTTTACCTACTTTTGACTATGTGGATATCATTTGGGGAGATCGCGGAAATGCGTCCTTAATGTCTGAGCTGCAAGTGTTGCAGAATAAGGCCGCTCGCCTCATTGTAGACTTACCTATTTATTTTTCCGCAACTGAGGCCCTAAAGAGATTGGCTGGAAACCATTACTGCGTCGTCGTAGAAAGGAACACCATGCCATCTTTATGTATAAATTAATTAACAACCATTCATGTAATACTATTCCTGTCACATTTAATCGTGACTTTCATGGTTACAACACAAGATCGAGAAATGACGTTCGAAAATCCAGTGCCACAAGAAGATGG